CAGTACAGTAATTCCCCCCGTTTCTGGATGTACCCCTAAACGTAGGGGTACCTCTTTAAATCCTACATCCCCGGATACCCCTGATCTGGGTGAACAACATATCCAAAAATCACCCAGATCAGACCAGGGGTTCGGGAAATGTATGGAGGGAATAAAATGACCGACCGCACTAACTGAGATAGCCGAATACGGTTCCATGTGAATGGGCCCTGCGGTCGGTCCTGGCATAAGGGAACAAAATACACGAAAGCCTCTAGCTATAGAGGCTAGGGAGGGTTCGCCTGAATCCCCTCGTTCGGTATTTTCTATCTACCGAACGAGGGGCCGTTCGGTAGTTTGGAACCGAACGGTTGTGGAGGTCTCAGCGGTGTTCGCCTACTCGAGTGTCCGATTTTAGTTCCAGACACTCGACGGCAAAACACCGCTGTTCGGGAGTTTTAAAATGGCCGCCGCCACGTGTTCGTTTGTCGAATGGCGGCCACCCCCGAGAACAAAGGACGGCTACTTACTATTCAATTACCCGTTCGCAACAATGTTGCAACGGGTAATTGAGGACACACTTCACACAGGGGAGGTCTGGTTGTTCGGTAGTTTCATTCGAATAAACTAAGGGAATGAAACTACCGAACAATCAGAGGAATACAATTCTTTTTAACACATATAAAACACAGCAGATACACGAATGCAGTGATCTACAGTATATTTGTAGGACAGCCCAGTGCCATCCGCTACATACAGTTTCATAAAACACATCACAGGGACCCCAAAACATGCAATAACCCCATATATATCCTTGGAACTGGGGGATCTGGGTGAACCACATGGCCAAAATTCACCCAGATCCGTTCAGTACTTTGGAAAATACAGTTTAATGCAGATTCTGCAGAACATATACAGGCTAAATAAAAAACAATCACTGTATAATGTGTCTCCTGCTGTATAGTCCAAAACCACCGCACGATGTCTCTGTGCAACAAATACTGGCGAGATGGCACCGTGTTGAAAAGTCCAAACAGTGTCTGGGAGTTAAAATGGCTGTTGTCTGGTGTGAATTACTTCAGGAGCGTGCACGCATTGTTTCTTTAATTTGGCCGGGGGCAGATACACAAGATAATCAATTGATTGATTGATTCCACATCAATCACGACACTAAAATACTGGCATAAATCTTAGTTGATGGACTAAATCCTTTCCTAACCAAACTCATAGATGCTGACCAAGACAGCTTTTTTCCTGGCAGACAACTATTTGAAAATACCAGTAGAAATATAAATATCATATGGCGACAAGCCGCAACTGAAACCCCATCTCTAGTGGTCTCCCTTGACGCTGAGAAGACCTTCGATAGGGTAAAATGACCCTATCTGGTAACTCTTCTGTCACATCTAGGATTCCCACAATCCTATATATCCACAATTAAAGCAATGTATAGCAACATTGCAGCACAGTTTAGGTTCGCAGGTGCCCACCCTCAGCCCTTCCAAATGAGTAATGGCACAAGGCAGGGCTGCCTGTTATCTCCCCTGTGTTCGTCCTGTCGCTGGAGCCCCTACTGCAGGCACTGCTCAAGCATTCTAACATACATGGTGTCAAAGTGGGGGGACAAGAATTTCTAGTATCTGCCTATGTGGACGATGTCCTATTAACAATAACTAACCCGAAAGACACCATGGCAGCACACAATACGGTCTGATATCGGAGTACAGGGCGAACATGGAAAAGTCCAGTGACCTCCCGATAAGGCTGTCTGCACCACATTTAAATAGAGAGCTGGTCCATTAAATATTTTGGCATTCGCCTAACAGCGCACCTATCTAGATTATACAACCTAAATTACCCCCCAATGATGAAACAATTGATGAAAGATATGGAGACTTAGATCGAAAAGCACATTTTATGGATTGGCCATGAGCACTCTGCTAAAATGAATATCCTACCTTGCATACTCTGTTTCAGGCACTCCCATTACCACTGACTACAACCTAACTGGCACCACTACAGAAAGTGATTGGCTCGTTCGTGTGGCAGAATAAATTAAATAGACCTCATACTGTATCGCTCAAAGACGCGTGGAGGCTTAGGCCTACTACATTCTTACTACCTGTCATCGCAACTGGCCAAAATAGCTACGTGGCACGCCCCCTTGGAGGAATGGAAATGGGTTGATCTCAAGTCCCTCTTGATGGGAGCAGACCTCCCACAGTTCCTTATTTAGGCAACCAAGGGACCATAGAGCGCTGCTGCGGACATCCTGCCCGGCCATCCTAAATTCATTAAGAATTTGGTGCTCCTCGGCCACGAAATATAACCTGGCTTCAAACCTAGCACCATTAAAGCCGTTCCTACACAACAAAGCTTTTACATCAGGGATGACAGCTCATGACATTAGAAACCTAGAAACGGCAGGACTGCAAAGGATCTGCCACTTACATGAGAAATAATAACTTTCGAGGGCCTCAAGCAAAGGAGACACTTGACTCCAGCATTATTTTAATATATCTTTTGCAAAACAACCGTATATCAGGGAAGCAGCCCACAAATTGATGACATTTTTTGAAAGAATGTGTCTGAATGAATCAATGCAAAAAGGCCTGATCACCTTGTTGTATGCTCACCTCTGCTCAGAGACCACAGGATGGGGACAGCTGTCATATGCTGACCAATGGGAGATGGACCTAGGGGAGGCACTGGAAGGTATAGATGGGCAGGAAATATGGGAAGCTAATTCCACCACGTCAATCTGTGTATCCCACCAGGAGCAATCGTATAAAACAATGTTTCAGTGGTACACCACACCAGTAAAACTGTACCATATGAAAAAGGTCCCTACAGATGGATGTGGTGGGAATGCCCTCAAATACAGTACTACAGGATAACGATTAGAGACCTCATATTCCAGCGAGCACCTGATCTACACATCAATGGATATACAATGCTGAGCAGAACGGTAGAAGGGTGGACCACACATGAAAGAAAACTACTATACAAAATCACCATAGCGGCAATTAGGGCTCTAGCCCAATCCTGGCTTAAACCAGACATCTCCTCTGTCCTGGGGATAATGTCTTTAGTCCTTTACTCGAAATTATATTGTTCCCTCTGTATTCTTTCTTCCTTTAACTTATTCTCTATACACAAACTATAGCTATAACCACAGGCCTATGCTCATGAGAGCCCATAATGACGCAGAACCCCTTGGATAGTGGTGAATCCCTAATTTCAAAAACAAACATAGGGCACGTGGCATACTCAAGATTCTGTCCTGTTGTATAATATATATAGCACGAATTCCGCTTTACTCTGTACATAATTACAAAACTGTGACACTACTTAATGGAGAGACCACTTGAAGGCGGATATCTGCATAAAGTATATTGCCATGTTCCTAGGTTTATATACCATTGAATATCTCAAGAGAAGAAACTATTTTTTCAAAGTCTCAAAATGTCTTGTATGTAACCATTGCATTGAATGTCACAAAAAAAAAAAAAAAAAAACTCCAATAACCTTAGGTGTACAGCTCCTCAGTAACTGAATTTTTAGACATATAAAAACATTTGCTGTTAGAAATTCCCCACCAATACTTTTAAAATAAAAAATGGATACTATCTTGAAGTGCATACACATTGCTGTATAGGCCCAGATGTGTGCAAATACTTTGTGTTATTTTCAGACGGTGTGTATGTTTGAATAAATATTCATTTTTGTGATTCGATTATTGGAACTCTGATGTGACAAACATCCTACGAACAGCTAATTTCCTACACTCCTGTAAATTCAAAATAGCCAAAATGGAAACATTCTTAAAATCTGCAATGCTTTCAGTCTGGCTAGTTTGGCCTTAAATGTATCATTAATTTTGAATTCTCACTTTAGTAAATAACGCGTTTAGTGTAGCAGGGTAGGCCAGTAGAAAATCTCATAAGCAAAGTCTCAGTGCAGTATCTAGTGAGTGGGTAGCAGTTAAGCCATGAGAAATGTATCGTATTCAATATAGTACTCAGCACCAGAAACCTGTATAGAGACAATCACAATAAGTTTGAATTCTGGCAAATTGAATGCTAGAATAGGTCACCAAGTTTTCAATTTTGTTATTTTGGCTTACATTTTGAAATTCTATTCAAATTACTAACAATGAACATTAGTACTTATGTTAGTAGCCTGTGTGTACTTTTTATTTACATGATGTATTGTAGTGTCTTTTTTTGTAATATGCTCTCCTGGTGCGCGTGAGGAAAGGAAACACCCGGTTTTATTTCTTGTGCTTGCTAAGACATCTGATTCACAGCAATTGCATACACATCCCATTTCAATTATTTACTTTTTACTCTGCTATTTACGAACTGTGAAAGTAAAAATAAACTCAACAAGCAAAGTGTTTCAACAGCCAACATACACTTTAGTACACTACATACACTAGCAAAGCCTTTTCATTTTTTTTTATGTACATATGTAATATGTTACCTTGATAATTATTATAAAATTTGTAGAAGAGTCCTCAATTCAGTGTTCTATTTTCAGTGCAAAATATTGCTATTAACTCTACAGCAAAAAATATGAATTGCATAAAAATAAACATGGCCCGTGCCATACTAGTACAGGTAGATAGTAGGTGGTTTCCAAACCTCACTATTGTACATGTCATTTCTCAACAAACCATTTAAATAAAATTTGAAATTTTAATTTGTAATTCTTTGTAGGCTAGAGATGTGTGCTGCATGTCACAAGGCAAATATCATGTCATTAGTAAATAGGTTATTATATGAATAAATTATACAAATAGGTTTGATTGTCAAACATTGCATAGGAAAGGCAAACTGACTTGAAAATTAAGTGTTAAAGAAGTATCACCCTTTATAAATGGTACAGATGAACGAACAGCAAGCTCATAAAAAATGCATTTCTTAATGTTCCTTTTGTTTTTTCCACTGAAATGGATCCCATTTCATGAATGGCTACAACAAACTTAACAGAATGAACAAAATTGATGCAACGGATTAGTGAGATATAAAAATGTTTATTAAAAAAGTAATACAAATTCTTATGTCATTATTACTGCATTTAAGAAGTAAAATATGTATCTTCCAGCTAGTTTCCAAATACTTCCTTGGATCAAGATGCTATTACTGTCCAACTAAACTTAAAAAAATAATTTGCCCTACAAAAGGATGAGAATGCCGAGCATGCCATACCAGTTGTTGAAACTATACTCTGAGATCTTCCTGAGACAGAGGAACTAATTTTCAAAAATGTGTGTTGTTTGAAGTGAGGATTCCTGTTGCTTTTGTATATTCAGATACGACCATTGGTGTTGTTACTACACGGAAGCTTTGATATGAAGGGAATAATTTAGGTAGATGTCTTTGACAACATGATACCAAGCTTTGTTAAAGAATATAGTTGTACATTTCTCCCTTTGTATTTGATGATGTTCTATAAAAAGAAAAGAAAAAAAAACAAAACATTGTATTGTTAAATGCACTCAAGCTTACCTAAATAGTCATTTAAGTAAATATCCAGGTATCTTCTCCAGTGGGTTGCGGCACACAAACCAAGCCTGTCCCCTTGCAAAATATGCAAAGACCCCAAATTTGCCAGTTTTAATGATTATTTATATAGAAGAAAGAGTTGAAAATAGCATTATGATTGATTACTATCAATACATTCTAGACATACTAACCAGAACCATTAAAGTGATAGCTAGAGAGAAGCACAGCTAATTTAAAAATTGTATTCTGTATGATTCCTGAACAGGAACCACTTGGTGACAAATGTTAATCCAACAATTAGCAGATTGCATTCACGTACGGAATAATGGTTTCTTCCAGGTAATCAAAACAAACGCTCCACCACTCAAAACCTGATTTGTGTTTCTTTAAAGGATTACTCCAAGCCCCATGATCAGCGATTTCAAATGATAATGTACCTGAATTGTGTATGTGCAGCACTCTGCTTTAAAATCCTGCACATACAGAGATTAACCCCATTGCTGCTGGAGGAGTAACTAATTTTATAAATTCTTGGCATTATGTTTTATAAATGGGTACTAATATAATATCAAAATGTGTGAGAATGGGAGTATGCGTGATGGCTGTAGGGCCGAATGTGGTCAGTTAGAAATAGAGGTTTTTGTTTATAGGATGGGCAGCCATAAACAAAAGTATGTCAAGATAGTAGGTTTTATCCGTAGTGTTGTCCACACAACTCAAGAGACAATGGGAATGTTTGATGATAATAATCTTGTTGGGATTCCAGTGGGTCATATAAAGATAGCAATCTGTAACTCTATTCAGGTACATATGAGAAAGACCCCAGGGGCATGTTAGATGTGTGTTGTGTAGCCAAAGGCCAGGAGGGAAAAAGCAAACATAGCACCAACCAATCACAAGTGACCCATGTAATCAAATGGAAGTCAATAGTATATCTAGTGAACTGTTAAGTAAGTAGAAGGAAGGAGAGGAGATAGAAGGGACAAGGAGGAGTGAACACCAGACTCCTCTAGATCTGAAGTGAAGATCTGCATTTTACATCCTGCAGAAACACCTACCACTCTGAAACTCAGTGAAGATCTGCATTTTACATCCTGCAGAAACACCTACCACTCTCAGGTACTGACTGAATCTTGGATCATCTATTCTTGGATTGCTACAATATTCTCATGCGTTACCATTTATACCTGTAGTTTGCCACTGTATTTTTTGTGCACGCAGTTTGTATTATTGTCATTCAGGTTTCTGACCAATATTTCATGTACACATTTATTAATATTTTGGGTGATAGACGCATCCATAGATTTATTGTCTTGGATAAGGTAGTTATGATAGGTAGAAAACACATAAGCTTTCTTTGAATATATCTGAATACATATCTAGTTTGCATTGATGTGTACATTGTAGGGTAAGTTATAAGTCTCAAGCACATAACACATTTAGAGCCCTATCCCTATTATACCATCCATATCATAGTTTAATTTAATAATATCGTATAAGTATTTATGTAGCAAGGTGACCTGCTGAACATGGTCCACTAACTGAGATTGAAGATTAAATATTATGACCCTGATTATTATGGTTTTGCAACAATTCATCCAGTCACTCTTTACAAATCTGTACAGATGTGATACAATGACCAGTTCAGGCAGAAAATTCCACATCTTTTGTAAAGAACCCTTTCCTAAATCTTTTTATCAGTCAAAATGTGTGACCTTTTGTCCTATGTATAGTCCTGTTTACAAACAGATCTCTACGCAACAGTTTGTATTGGCCCTGAATATATTCTTATCATGTTATCATATCCCTCTTATGCACTGCTTTTCTAAACTAAACAGATCTAAATTTTATGGCAAGACTGGAGGCTTCATATTTGCTTTACCTTCTTTACTGAAACCTCCAGTAGCAAATAAATAGTTAATATAACTTTTCAGAAACTACCAATCAGAACAAAAGAACAGTAGAACAAAAAACTCTCAGGCAGACCCTCCCACTTCCTCTTTCTTTGCTGCTGCCTCCAGGTGAGCTCCCCAACTCAGAGAGTGTGCCTGCTCTGGACTGTTTGATTTATTGTTCCTGTATATTGTTGTATATGTTGTATGTATTTATTGTTTATATGCTGCATGTTTGCCTTGATTTCTAAGATGTATTTAGTTAGTATGTTTGGTTATCTATTCCATCCAGTTTTTGTGTGGGGCTCTTCGGCTGTGTGCCTGATGGGCATTCCCTAACTCAGAGAGTGTCTGCTCGGGGCTGTTTATTGCTTTATTGTTCAGGTATTACTTTATGCTGCATGTTTGCCTTGATTTCTAAGCTGTTTTTAGTTAGTATGTTTGGTTATTTATTACATTTACTTTTGTGTGGGGCAAGTGTGGACAACTTTGTGGGTTTTCCCCTGCTCTGGTCTCCCCTTACTGTGCATTGCTACAACCGCAGCACTCTTGTGAGTCCGCCACGCCCCTTTGCCCTTGTTGGCTCTCCCACACACCCCCACCCCCAAATAGATTTCAACGCTCTGCGCCATGTACTCAACCGCCGCATCCTGTGTGCTCTCCCGGTTGGTGGGCGCTTTACGCCAAGCGGCTGCATTTGCAGCATTAGGCCATGGCGGCCATTTTATCGGAGCCACGTGGCTCCCACGCGCTTGCTTTTTGTCTCACCCATTGGGCCACACTTGCAGCGCTGCATGGGGGGTTCTACTGGCCATGTGGCTGATCCCCTTTTTTTCCTCCTCTCTCTTGCAGGTTCTTTCTTATGTGAGGACAGCACAGTATGTACTCTGTAGACATGGATGCGCTGCTCCCCCTCACTGTTTGTTTGCATTACTACCTACTAAATTGTATTGTTTGTTTTGTGTTTTCCAGCACCCTCCCCCCACCCCCCGTAGGGGAGATTGTCTGTTGCAGAGTTCCACATCTCTGTATGCCTGGTGTTCAGGCCCCTTATTACTGACGGAATCCCTCGTACTCTGTTGATGGACGCTTTTCTAGCTTGCGCCGAAGACCACAACCACCGCACCGGACACCACAACCACCACAGACTCCACAACCACGGTAGCTTAACTAGAGTCTCGCCATCTTCCTTCCACCCTGGATCAGCCTCTGTCCTCCAGGACCATGTGGTGAAGACCTCTCCTCCAGGAGAGCGTATCAGGAACCAGCTCTTAAAAGAGCTAAGTGATTAAAGCTCAGGGGAGTATACAAAGTATAGCAATCCCCAGTGTGAATGTAGCAGTTCCCCTCCAATCACGAGACAAGACTACGTGTTGAGGGTCAAGAAGATCTCTTTTAATCAGCACCAAAGGGCTTTCTTTTATGCAGGTTTTACACATACAGTACCGCCCACAGGGTTTTGTAGAACAACCAATAAAACACATATAATACAGTAAAACATTCCAATTCATTCCCACAAAATCCTCCCCTCTGCCTGTGATATAGGCAGGAAAAATATACTTTTTATACATTCACTATAACTTTAAAAATATACATCCAATCTCCATATTATGAATCAGCATACTTTAAATATAAACATATCCAAAATTCAGGCAATTCCCTCCAGGGGTTAAAAAGTTAGTCGGAAGTCCTTTGTGACGGACCGCAAGCACATTTTCCTGCCCAAAACAGTTCCATAGATTTGGGCTGTGCGGTTGGTCAATTTCACTCAGAAATAGCTTAGTCTCACTGTGTGTTCAAATTGTGAAACAGGAATACTGAATGGAGGAGAAGGTAAGGGTCAGCGGTGTTTATGCAAATGTGTAGCCATAAACCAAGTATTTTGAAGGTCTGGGGTCGCACCGCCTTAGGGCGCACCGGCTCTGGGGGCGCAAAATTCCAGTGACCGGCAGGAGGGAAGTGCTCCCTCCTGCCAGGTCACCTCCTGGATCCCCGGCGCGGCGTGCGGCTGAATTGGATGCCGAGGTGGCGAGGGAGCTCTGATCTCTCTCATCTGCTCCCTCGCAGGCTGTTTACTGATGACGTCAAATTCCGGCTCCCGCGGCATCAGTAAACAGCCTGCGAGGGAGCAGATCAGAGAGATCAGCAGCACGCCTCCCAGCAGCCCCACTGGACCACCAATGAGAGACCCACGCCAGCTGTCCAGGTAGGGAGGCTGGGTGGGAAATTTTTATTTAATTTAGATTATTAATTTTTATGTGTGTGTGTGTGTGTGCATGTGAGTATGTGTGTCTGTGAGATTGTGTGTGTGTGTGTGTGTCTGTCAGTGTGTGTGTGAGTGTGTCTGTCAGTGTGTGTGAGTGTGTCTGTCAGTGTGTGTGTGACTGTGTCTGTCAGTGTGTGTGTCTGTCAGTGTGTGTGTGAGTGAGTGTGTCTGTCAGTGTGTGTGTGTGTGTCAGTGTGTGTGTGAGTGAGTGTGTCTGTCAGTGTGTGTGTGAGTGAATGTGTCTGTCAGTGTGTGTGTGAGTGAGTGTGTCTGTCAGTGTGTGTGTGAGTGAGTGTGTGAGTGTGTCTGTCAGTGTGTGAGTGAATGTGTCTGTCAGTGTGTGTGTGTGTGTGTGTGTGTGTGTCAGTGTGTGTGTGTGTGTGTGTGTGTGTGTGTCTGTGTGTGAGTGAGTGTGCCTGTCAGTGTGTGTGTGTGTGTGCATGTGAGTATGTGTGTCTGTCAGTGTGTGAGTGAGTGTGTCTGTGCATGTGAGTATGTGTGTCTGTCAGTGTGTGTGAGTGAGTGTGTCTGTCAGTGTCAGTGTGTGTGTGTGTGTGTGCGCATGTGAATAGGTGTGTGTGGTTCTGTCAGTGTATGTGTGAGTTAGTGTGTGTCAGTATGTGCGTGTGTGCATGTGAGTACGTGTGTGTCAGTGTCTGTGAGTGTGTGTGTGTGTGTTAGTGTGTGTTTGTCAATGAGTCTGTCAGTGTTTGTGTGTCTGTCAGTGTGCGTGTGAGTGTCTGTCAATGAATGAGTGTGTCAGATAAGTGAGTCTGGCTGTCAGAGATGTCTGTGTGTTTGTCATTGAGTGTGTGTGACTGTCAGTGTTTCTACACCCCTGACTGTAGCGTTGCCAAGTGGAGTGTACCGTGGTACAGGAACTTCTGTTTCCTGTTCCTAGCAGGACTGACAGGAAAAGCTCACTGTACCAGGATTCGCTCCGCTCAGCCACGCTACAAGAAAGGTAGGAGGCACACCAGGAAGGGGAGTGGACCACTATGGGGGTGGGTGGCGCACCAAGGGACAGGGAGAGGAGGGGAGAGATACCCTAAGGTACAGGAAAAGGAGGGAGGGGGGGAGAGGAACACTAAGCAACAGGGAACAGAGGAGAGGGGGGAAGGGAAAGGAACACTGAGGAACAGGGAAAGGAGGAGAGAGGGGAGAGGAACAGTATGGGTCAGAGAAGGGAGGGGACCATTATGGGACAGGGAGAGGGGCTGGATATAAAAGAAACACACAGCGGGGCTTGAGAAGGAAAGAGACACACAAAGGAGCTGGGAAGAATAAAAGACACAAAGGGGCTGGGAGAAAAGGAGTCACACAAAGGGGCTGGGAGAAGTAAGACACAAAATGTGTGAGGATGTAAGAGTCATACAAAGAGGAGAGATAGGAGACACACAAAGGCAAAAATAGGAGATAAAATACACTAAAGGGAGTCAGATATTTAAAAGACGGGATAAGAAACACAAAAGGGAGGTTAAGAGGCACATGGGCGAATATGTTTTTGGGGGGGGCGGAAAAATGCATCTTCGCCTATGTACCCAAAATTATTTGCACCGGTCCTGGGTCTCTGGGGACACCGTCTTAAAGGGGTATTGTTCCAATAAGTCTCAGAAGCCCAAATACAGTCCTTAAAGGGCCATACACAGTCCAATAAAAGTCTATAAGCCCAAATGCTGGTTTTAAAGGGAAAAATCTCCCAGGGGCCATAGTCACAGGGCAGGAGGCTGGCAAGCAGGTCTCTCCAGGACCAAGTGGCAAAGGGCACTTCGTCACACTGACCTCACAGACTTACAATGTCTAGTGCCTGAGTGACCCTTCCCAGTACTGTCCGAGCCATGATGTTTCGGCTGCTGATTCCTATTCCTGGCAGCCAGCCACAAGGAGTCATCCTGTCACTCACATCCAGCCACAGGTGGACCATCCTGTTGCTCACATCCGAACACAGGTGGGCCATCCTGTCACTCACAGCTAGCCATTCTGTCACTCATGACCAGTCACAGGGTGCCGTCTGATCACTCACAGCCAGCCCATCTTCTCATTCACAAATATTTCCACCAGACAGAGGGTGACCCCTTCTCTATTGGGCTGCTCTGCTTTAAGCTCTGCTTGTTGGTTGACCCCCTCTTGCATTCTGGGTGACCCCAAGCCTGCCATGGGCCCTCTACCTCACTGACCTTTGCTTTTTTCTGTGTTCCAGTGGAACTACTATGGCCGATGTCTCAGTCTTTATGTGTCAGAAGGCCTCCAGGCCTGCCTGTGTGTCCCTTTCATGGACTCCCTACCCAAGGCGCTTGCCACCTCCCATGGGGTTGACCCCCCCGATTGCCTCGCAGCCTACTCGTTTCGCCCCTGGCTCTAGAGGCTCTAACTCAGATGGGTCTCTCCACCCCCTGGGGACAAGCTCCGCATGCAAGCATCCCTTGACAGGCTAAGAGGCCCCCACGCACAAGGACAAAAAAAATTGGCTAGATTTGGCTCCGGTACGGCTGGAAGTGTGGATGTGAACATCTTCTCGGGGGCCCCCGATTGCACTATTTCTTTTTCAGCTTCTTCACAAAGACAACTTCATTTCTGTAAGGCTGACAACTTGTACGCTGCTTGCCCGGCAAAGGCACCTTTGGTTGTTACTCCCGCTATGTTAGGTAGATGGTGGTCAACATTTCCCCGGCTGATGCTCTATGTCCACAGTCGACCTTTGCGGTCGATCCCATGAAGATACTGGATCCTTTGGGATGGCCTCTCTTTAACCCATGTCCCCTTACACGTCCACGCGCCTCGGAGTGGATGCTCCCTGGCCACGTTTCGAAGTTCCTCAGGTGTCCACCGCCCTCTGGATAAGGAAGTCATGGCGAAGCTTAGGGTGGGGTGCCCTCCTCCTACACTATCGGATAAAGTGGCCTTTACCCCTGACTTTGACCTGGTGTTTGCAATTTTCTGGCACATTTTGGTAAGAATGTGCACAAGGGCCTGGAGCAAGACTAGCTCCTTGATATCAGTGACCCGCTGACTTAGATTTTTCCAATGGCTAATGATGCTCTGAATGAAGGAACACCGGTGGATGTGAATAGGTCCAACACACCATCTGCTTGTGTGGCAACGCCAATGTGGCCTTCCCATGGAGCACCGCATGGCGGCTCTTTATGCACTGGACAGCAAGCTGCATGACTCCATTGGTAGCTTCGACACAAGGGGGCCTAAAATAACGAGGCGATTTCGGCTCCCCTCCGGACTTCATCCTGAATTTTTACCTGCACTGGTGGGACGCCAACGATTGACCTTTTTTTTTTCCACAGTGTTTCATGTGTTGGACTTCCTTCAGGGTCCGCTCCATCTAGACCTCTTCATTGTCCAGGGCAAACCGCTCATGTTGTTGTTTCTCAGCTGGGTTCAGGTTTTATCTCGACGCAGCAATGGATGCGTTCATCCAGGTCTGGCCGTTCATGGGAGCGTATTCGTTGCTGCCTTTCTCCATGATACATAGGACTTTCCATCAGACCAAGCTTCTGAGAGTGTAGATACTCTTGATTGTACCACTGTTGAGGAGTCACCAGTGGTTCCCTCAACATCTGGGGTTTGTTGTGCTAAGACCTGTTACAGCTTCCTGCCTCCGGGATTCTCCTTTGGAATCCGGCTGGGATCCCACACGTGTTGATGTTCTAGAGTTGCGGCTTGAGAGTTGCCCTGGGACTGTTGGACGCCGGGCACTAGGTGATTATCTAGGCCTGACATGGCTGGTGTCTGAAGAGGCATTTTGATCCCTTAGTGGCCTATATCGTGGGCGTCCTGAACTCCTTGGCTGAATAGTTTTTTCAAGGTAAGTCTTTCTGGCCTATTTTTGTCTTCCGTTCCACCATTTTGGTGGCTTATGTTCCCTCTCAGGACTCTTGCATTGGGTTAAGCCTCTCGGTCTGCAGGCTGCTCCGAGATATGCTCCTTTCGAGAACCCTGCTTTGCACCATTCCTTGTTCTGGGACATATCGGTCTTCTTTCTTTTCCTTGGGAATTAACCAGTTAACGGAGATTGGTTTCAAATATTTAAATATTTATTTTAATATTTTGTCCCACTAACATGAGAAATTTGCATACTGGTTTTCTATGTTTGTACTTTTCATTGATATCCATAATTGATGCACTTATTCTTATTATTACCACTTATCTGTATAAAAGGTTTTAGGTTTAACATATTAATTATTAACATATTTAATTTGAAATGTAAAATAACTTACCAAAGACCCTATTTCTTTTTCAGCTTCTTCACAAAGACAACTTCATCCCTATTTTTAATACCATATCTAAAAAGACAGAAGTTACATTATTAAACATTTTCTATAAAAACTAGTCTACCTATCTCTGACAGAAGCAGCAGCATATTTGCACAACTGCACAGCATATTCAAGGTGTGGTATTACCAGCAATTTATAAAGAGGCAAAATTATATTTTCATCCCGAAAATTTATGCCTCTATTTACACATAACAAAACCTTACTAGCCTTAGCAACTGCAGATTGACATTGCATATTGCTGCCTAATTTGTGGTCTATAACAATTCCCAAATCCTTCTCGTGTGTGGTTATCCCTAATTCACTACCATTTAGGGTGTTCGTTGCTTGTGCATTCCTGACCCCGAAGTGCATAACTTTGCATTTCTCTATGTTAAATTTCATCTGCCATTTTAGTGCCCAGTCCCCCAATATATCCAAATCCTTCTGCAACAAAGCAATATTCTGCTTACATTTTATTACTTTACAAAGTTTTGTGTCATCTGCAAACACTGATACATGACTTTCAATGCCCATTTCAAGATCATTTATAAATATGTTAAATAGAAGCGGTCCCAAAACAGAACCCTGAGGGACACCACTTACCACTTTTGTCAAGCCTGACAATTTACCATTTATGACAACTCGTTGTACTCTATCCTTAAGCCAATGTTCTACCCAAGAACATTCATCTAGACCTATTTCTTTTAGTTTGAAGACTAACCTATTGTGAGGAACCGTATCAAATGCCTTGGCAAAATCCAAGTAGATCACATCCACTGTAACACCCTGGTCTATACTTCTACTTACTTCTTCGTAGAATGCAATTAGGTTAGTTTGACATGACCTATGTTTCATAAAACCATGCTGATTATTGCTAATAACAAAGTTCTTCCCAATGAATTCCTGAATATTATCCCTTAATAGCCCTGTGACAGATCCATCTGTATAGACTGGGATTGCTGGTTCGTCTGTTTTGCCTTTTCGTGGAATTACCCGTTCGTATGCCGCTGTTCAGTGAATTGACTCTTCCGCCAAACAAAACTACAGAACGGACGGCCACCCAGAAGAGAAGTGTGCTGCTGGTTAACCTCTTGATCCCAATTAGAACATTGTGGTTAACCGCAGACACTTCTCAATGAAAACCGAATACAGGGTGGTCATTGTTCGTACGTCGACCACGAGGCGGCGGCCATTTCAAACCATGCGAAAGACCAGCGGTGTTCGGCATTGATTTCACGGAACTGAAAACGGACACTTTTTCTGCCGACCTCCCTTCTAATAACAAAGTTCTTCCCAATGAATTCCTGAATATTATCCCTTAATATTTAATTAATATTTTCCCAGTCACAGAAGTTAAGCTCACAGGTCTATAATTTCCAGGCAAGGATTTTGAACCCTTTTTAAACATAGCAACGACATCTGCCTTCCTCCAATCCTTTGGTACAATACCTGAAACAAAAGAATCTTTAAAAATTAAATAGAGAGAGGTTCACTTATCGCCCCACTTAGCTCCTTAACTACTTGTGGGTGAATACCATCAGGACCCGGAGCTTTATTTACATTCATTTTCGTTAATTCCTGTAGCACCTTGTCTTGAATCATCCAATCACAAGTTATCTGCAAGTTTTTTGCAGCAATCATTTGCATATCCCTTGCCATAGGATCCTCATTAATATATACTGAAGAAAAAGTGTTATTTAAAAGTTCTGTCTTTTCCTGGTCTTCATTAGCTAACAGACCCATCTCTGTTTTCAGTGTACCTACAGTTTCATTTTTTGTTTTTTTAGAAATTATGTACTTGAAAAAAAAATTTGGTTTGGTTTTGCATTCTTTGCCTATCAATTTCTCATTTTCTAGTTTAGCCACTTTAATTGCCTTTTTGCAAGAATTATGGGCTTCCTTATATCTTATGTAGGCTGGCTCTGATTTGTCCGATTTAAATGCTTTAAATGCCCTTTTCTTATTTTTAATCTCTTGTTTTACTTGTGTGTCACTTTACCCAACTCCCTCTAACATGTAAGCTCATTGAGCAGGACCCTCAATCCCTCTGTTCCTGTGTGTCCAACTTGTCTGGTTACAACTACATGTTTGTTTGTCCACCCACTGTAAAGCACTGCAGAATTTGTTGGCACTATATACATAATAACATAATAATAATAATAACAAAAAGTGCAATAATTACATACTCAGGGTTAAGGGTGATGGTACATAGCACCCAAACCACTTCAATGAGTTGTGGGTAACTAAAGACCCTTCAACACTAAATAAGGGTCTTTAGTTACCCACAGACCACTCCCTACTGGAGCTACGGCTAAGGCAGAGATACTTCTTTCTGGCCATAGCAATTTATACCAGAAATTGGTTCTTTGTATAGCTGTCAGTAGTCAGGTAGAATGCTATGCCAACCAATGCTGCCCACTGCTGTTCAGGCTAAAGCTTTATCATAGAACAAGCAGCAAAGAGGGATGATCTCTGGGGATACTTGTATAGCATTAAAATATAAAAAATAGTTAACGTTGAATGGAAAGATTGCACCGAAGACTCCACAGAGAAAGATAGAATGTGACAGCAGATAAGAACCATTTGGCCCATCTAGTCTGCCCAATTTTCTAAATACTTTCATTAGTTCCTGGCCTTATCTTAAAGGACCACTCTAGGCACCCAGACCACTTAAGCTTAATGAAGTGGTCTGGGTGCCTGGTCCAGCTAGGGTTAACCCATTTTTTTTTTATAAACATAGCAGTTTATAATAGGGTTAATCCAGCCTCTAAAGCCTCTAGTTGCTGTTTCATTGACAGCCGCTAGAGGCGTTTGCGTGCTTCTGTCAAAAACACAGTGAGAAGACGCAAGCGTCCATAGGAAAGCATTATGAATGCTTTCCTATGAGACAGACTGAGTGCGCGCGCGGCTCCTGCCGCACATGCGCATTCAGCCGGAGAGGAGGAGAGCAGCTCCCCTCCCGGCGCTGGAAAAAAGGTAAGATTTAACCCTTTCCTCGCCATCCAGCCCTGCGGGAGGGGGTCCCTGAGGGTGGGGGCACCCTCAGGGCACTATAGTACCAGAAAAGTGAGTATGTTTTCCTGGCACTATAGTGGTCCTTTAAGTCTAGGATAGCCTTGCCTATCCCACACATGCTTAAACTCCTTCACTGTGTTAACCTCTACCACCCCAGCTGGAAGGTTATTCCATGTGTCCACTACCCTCTCAGTAAAGTAATGCTTCCTGATATTTTTAAACCTTTGCTCATCTAATTTCAGACCATGACCTCTTGTTGTGGTAGTTTTTCTTCTTTTAAATATAGTCTCCTTCTTTACTGTGTTGATTTCATTTATGCATTTAAATGTTTCCATCATATCCCCAGTCTCGTTTTTCCTCCAAATTATACATTTTAAGATCCTTTAACCTTTCCTTGTAAATTTTTATCATGTAATCCATGTACTAGTTTAGTAGCCCTTCTCTGAACTCTTTCCGAAGTATCTTCTGAAAATACGGTCTCCAGTACTGTGTACAATACTCCAATTGAGGTCTCTCTTTCTACTGCGAATACCTCTCCCTATACAACTAAGTATTCTGCTAACATTTCCTGCTGCTCTATTATATTGTCTGCCTAACTTTAAATCATCTGAAATAATTATTCCTAAATCCCTTTCCTCAGATGTTGAGGTTAGTAAGGTAGCAAATAATCTATACTGCCCTTGGGTTTTTACATCCAAGATGCATTATCTTGCACTTATCCACATTAAATGTCAGTTGCCACAGCTCTGACCATTTTTCTAGTTTACCTAAATCATTTGCCGTTTGGCTTATCCCTCCTGGAAAATCAACCCTGTTGCAAATTTTAGTATCATTAGCAAAAAGACATACCTTACCATCAAGACCTTCTACAATATCACTAATAAAAATATTCGAGAGAATGAGTCCAAGTACAGATCCCCACTGGTAACTAGACCTTGCTTTGAATATACTCCATTGACTACAACCCTCTGTTGCCTGACTCACAGAGCTTGCTCACTGGAGTTTGCTTGAAAGTAGGCTATTTAAAGTAGTCTCTTTTAAGAAGGAGTTAAAACAACAGGAGTTTGTTGGAGAACTGATGGACTGTGGTTGGTATTAGTTAATACCAAGTGAAAAAAAAGCAGGTTTAACCCCTTAAGGACACATGTCTTGTGTGACATGTCATGACTCCCTTTTATTCCAGAAGTTTGGTCCTTAAGGGGTTAATTTTTTATTTATTTTTTAAACTTTGACCCTTTTTTTTATTTATTTTTCTCCTTGCTGTTTTGATTTATTTAAATTTTTTTAACTTTTCCCCCTTTTCTTATATATATTTTTATTCTTTGCTGGGTTTATTTAAACTTTGTCCTTTTTTTTTTCCTATATATTTTCGAGGTCCTTCACTCAGGGCAAACCCTTAACGACAAGTGACGGACCACGTCCGTCATGCAGTAAAATTAACCCCAGATCGCCATGAGCGCGGCGATCGCGGGGTTAATGGTGCTCCGGTCTGCCTCTGTATTATGTATCTGTATTAGAGGCAGACCGGGAGCACCCGATCAGGCTGCCCCAGCACATGTGCTCGCTCAGACAGCATGTCAGAGCGAGCAAATGTGCTGCATATACTCACCTTCCGCCTCCCTGCACTTCCTGGTTCTGTGTGAAGTACAGGGAGACGGATCATCACTGATCCTGCCCCCTGTTAGAAAAAATAAAGTTAATTTAGAATCCCACCCCCCTTTACCCATTTTAATTAAAAAAAATTAACCCCTTCCCTGCCAATTAATCACTGACTACAGTGATCAATTGGCAGGGATTACATTTTACTATGATCTGATTTTTTTTTAACCCGTGAGGGTTAATTGTTTTTTTTTTAACCCTCGGGGGTTAAATTTATTTTATTAATTAATTTAAGTATTTTAAAATTATAAATTTAGCTAGCTGGGGTGGGTGGAAGTTAGTGGGGAATTGGGGCTTTTGGTGTTAGGCTAACTAGGGGTTAACGTTAAAAAAAAAGTTTTAAAATAAGCTTTAAAAAGTTCAAAATTAAGTTAATTTTTTTTAATAACGTTTAAATAAAAAATAAAAAAACACCCCCTTTAGCCAGTCCAAATAAAAATTACACAAACAAGTAATGGTGAGAGCACAAAAATAAATTAAATTGATATTACCCACAAATTATTCCCTGAAATAAAACAAGGGAAAAAAGACATAGGGTAATAGAGTAGAAACTATAAATCAAATGGACATATTAGTCCCACTCACATAAACCAATGTTTAAATATAAATTGAACCTTGATAATGGAGATACTATATTAAATTTGGTCATCTAAATATTAAATTTGGTCTCTATTTTAAATGACCAAATTTAATAAAGTATCTCCATTATCAAGGTTCAATTTATATTTAAACATTGGTTTATATTTTTTATAAGGTTTGTTGTTTTTAGACTTGTATATGTATTGAAATATATAAGTTAAGAAGAGTATACATTATCTATGGTATCATTTTAGATGGTTAAATTAATCCAACAACAATATAATTTGATTTAATTTAAGTTTATTTTATTATGTAATTTTGTAAAGTACATTGTATATCCTATTTTGCTCCATTTCGCCAACTAAGTAATTGTCCTGATAGAAGAGGACGCCAGACGTTTCAGACACGTCCGGACGTATGGACCAGAAGTGGCGATAGAGCGTGAGGACGCAGATGACGCTCTGACGCAGAACCCGGAAGTGAAGTGCCGAGATGACGGCGGAAAAGGGCGCCAAAAGGAGGATTTAAAAGACTGCACGCCACGAGTAAACACAATACCTCTGATGAAGGCTTAACTGCCGAAACGTGTAAGGTGTTGTGGATTCCTGTTTTTATTGGACATTCTTCTAGTATTTTCGAATTTTAATTTGTTTCCTGTTTTTTTTGAAAAATAAATTGTTTTGTAACCCCCTGAATCGGCGTCCTGGAGGTACTTTATATAGAAATATGAAGAAGGGTCCATTGGAATTTCTAATCGTTCAAGGCATGCAGTCTGAGCCAGCTTTTTAAGTGGCTCCTTATATGTGAGTGGGACTAATATGTCCATTTGATTTATAGTTTCTACTCTATTACCCTATGTCTTTTTTCCCTTGTTTTATTTCAGGGAATAATTTGAACATTATTTGTAGGTAATATCAATTTAATTTATTTGCGTGCTCTCACCATTACTTGTTTGTGTGTTTATTACTGTATTTTAGGGTGGTGATTGTGGCCCACCTTGGTGATTGTAGCACCTTTGTTTATGTTTGAGGAATTTTTCACTTTTGTATTGTATCCAAATAAAAATTAACCCCTTCCATGCCAGTCGATCGCTGCCTACAGTGGTTAAAAAAAATTAGATCACAGTATAATACTGTGATCTGTATTATACTGTGATCTAATTTTTTTTAACCCCTGACGATTAACTTTTATTTATTTTTTAACCTTCAGGGGTTCAATTTATTTAATTAACTAATTTAAATATTTTATAATTATATTATATTATAATATACAATAATATATGAAAAACGAGGGTTAGTTTTATATTTGAACTGCTCTATATTGTGCGGTCATGTAACCGGCAGTCGGCCGCAATGAGTGTTGGGAAATGTAGTTAGACGCCGGCACGCACTGCGCAGCTGCCGTGGGGCGTCTATGTTGTGCGGTCATGTGACCGACGGTCAGCCGCAATGAGTGTTGGGGAATGGAGTTAGATGCCGGCGCGCACTGCGCAGCCGCCGGCATCTAGGCGAGTGGGTAAGCAGAAGAAGGGGGCGTGAGTTAAGCCGACGACGGCACGCACAAAGCTGCGGCGGTCGTCATGGAAAGAAAGCTGAATAGCAAAGACGACAGCTCGCACGATGCTGCAGCCGTCGTCATGGCAATGGGAAGGAAACTGTCAGCATGCACAGAGCTGCAGCCGGCTGGATGTTGAATATGCCTGATACACTAAAAAGTGTAATCAGGCATAATCAAAACAGTGATATAAAGACACACCATAGATATAACCCATCTGGGGATAATAACCTAAATATAAAGTGTGCTAAATATTTTAAGACATCCTATAATAGGTTAGAAATCAATATAAAAATTAAGAAATTAGGCAAATCATTTAAAAACATTCAGTAATAAATGATATAAAACATTAAAAAAAAATTTAGTTATAAAAAATTGAACAAATCAAAATCAACATTAAGACCATGGGGTATATCCCATAAGCGGGGATCAAACTGCTGTACGCCTTTCATACTAGAGCGGGTTAAAGCTCTTAAAAATGTGAGTTTTATTCCAGCCTTTTATATTTTATTACTTTTTATCATCAAGCACTATTTGGTTCTCTATTTATTTTTATTTCTTACATATGAGTGGATCCATACGGAGGAGAACAGCAAGGACAATTGTTCTGGACCAAGCACTTATAAACTCTACGTCTCCAAAAAGATCTTTTTAGATAAGACTTTTTCCTTTTTATTTATTTTATTTGGACTATTTGTTATTTTTATCTCATATCTAGTTCTTCTGGCGCAGCCCTTATCTGTTATTCTACTTTCCAGTTTTACTTCTTAAGGGTGTTTGAGGGATTCCCTTATAGGGTTGCTGCCCATCTGTTATTTAGCGCTTACTCTTTATTTTGTTTTTATGTATGCATGCATGCCTGGATGATTCTGTCCAGGGTCCATACCTCTGTGGTGGGTGTGAGCGAGTGGCTTTTCTGGAAGCTCAGATTAGAGATCTGGAGAGGCAAATTGTAACACTGAGGGAGATTGACAATCTTGAGAGGAGTCTGCTGCTCACTGAGCAGAGTTTAGTGGGGACAGGTAGTGGAGAGGGAGGAGATAAGACAGATGGGGAACAGGCACATAGCTGGGTGACAGTGGGGCGAGGATGCGGCTGGGAGGGAAGAGGAAAGGTTTAGCTAGTCCTGATCTTGTGCAGCCGAACAGATTTGCTAGTTTTAGTTCCTTCTTATAGCCGTGGGAACAGCCCCTCTATTACGGATAAGGTTGAGAGGGTAAGGAAGGCTAGACAGGTTGTGGTGAGAGTAGATGGGGTAATCTGCCACTCTGATCGTCTCAAACGGACAGTTTGCTGTCTCCCGGGTGCTCGGGTCCGGCATGTTGTCGACAGAGTGGAGGGATTATTGGGAGGGGCTGGAGATGACCCAGCTGTCATGGTCCATATTGGTACCAATGACAAAGTCAGAGGAAAATGGAAGGTCCTAAAGAATTAGTTCAGGGAACTAGGAAGTAAGCTAAAGAAAAGGACCTCCAAGGTAATATTTTCAGAAATATTACCTGTGCCACCCGCTACAGCAGAAAGGCAGCGGGAGATTAGAGAGATCAATGCGTGACTGAAGTCTTGGTGCAGGAAAGAGGGTTTTGAGGTTTTAGAGCACTGGGCCGATGATGCGCTTGGTACAACCTGTATAGTCCTGATGGATTGCACCTAAACGGAAGAGGCTCTGCTGTGCTTGGGGAAAGGATGGCTAGAAGGTTGGAGGAGATTTTAAACTAGTAGTAGGGGGGAGGGTCAATGCAATCTAGAAAATGGAGATATGATAGAAAGGAGATGGGGTTTAGTTCAGTGTAAGGGTGGTGGAGATGGGGGATGGGAAAACTCAGAACAGAGGAGGTATGTAATATTGCTGAAAATTCACAAAAAGTACAAATGACTCAGGACAATATTAAATGTATGCTTACTAATGCAAGAAGCCTATATAACAAAATGGGGGAACTAGAGGCAATAGCATACACTAAACAATATGATATAATAGGCATAACAGAAACATGGTGGGATGAGACACATGATTGGGCAGTTAACTTAAATGGGTACACGTTATTTAGGAAGGACAGGAAAAACAAGAAGGGTGGTGGGGTATGTTTGTATGTCAACCAAGAGTTAAAGTCAAATCTTAGGCATGTGGAGTGTGACGAGGAAAATGTGGAAACTTTATGGATAGATATCTGCTTGTGGCAAACAAAGGAAAATCAATTTTTGGTTGGGATATGTTATAAACCACCTAATGTAAATATTAATGAGGAAGAACAGCTGCAAATTGGGAAAGCTGCAAATCGGGGTAACACGTTAATTATTGGAGATTTTAATTACCCTGACATAAATTGGGATAGAGTGACTAGTACGTCAGCAAGGGGAATCAGGTTTTTGAATGTGTTAAATGACACATTTATGTCACAACTGGTACAAGCACCAACTAGAAAAGATGCTCGTCTGGATTTCGTTATAACAAACAATGTTGATCTTTTGACCAACATTCAAGTAGGGGAGCATTTGGGAAATAGTGATTACAATATGGTAAATTTTGAAATAAACTCAAAAAAACTAAAGCATGTGGGGTATACTAAAACGTATAATTTAAAAAAAGCAAATTTCAATAAGATTAGGGCAGCTCTACAACATATTGACTGGCATAAACTCCTTAGTGACAAAAACACTGAGGATAAATTGAAAGTATTCAAACAAATATTAGAAAGGTACATTTCTCAGTATGTACCATTGGGTAAGAAACAAATTGAAACCAGGGCTCGAGTCTTGCAGGAACGCATGGGAACGGCGTTCCTGCACTTTTTCCAAAGCAGGAACGCCGTTCCCGTTACCTGTCCTGCAGGACCGGCCCTGCTACCTGCACAGAGGGGCCATCACACGCTGTGTTCCCTCTCCAGCTATAACTCTCGCGAGACCCGCGGCTGTTTCCATGGCAACGCTCCGCACAGGCGAGTCTCGCGAGAGTTAAAGCTGGAGAGGGAACACAGTGTGTGATGGCTCCTGTGTGCAGCGGCTGCCTCCCTCCACCGGACCACCAGGCGATCTCCCCCCTCCCTGACAAGGTAAGAAGCAGGGAGGGGGGATAAATACAAATTATACATAAAGTAAAAAAATGCTACCCCCCCACACACACCCATCATCCAGCACTCACACACCCATCATCCAGCACACACACACCCATCATCCAGCACACACACACCCATCATCCAGCACACACACACCCATCATCCAGCACTCACACACACACATAATCCAGCACGCACACACACACATCATCCAGCACGCACACACACACATCATCCAGCACACACACACATCATCCAGCACACACACACATCATCCAGCACACACACACATCATCCAGCACTCACACACATCATCCAGCACACACACATACACACATCATCCAGCACTCACACACACATCATCCAGCACTCACACACACACACATCATCCAGCACTCACACACACATCATCCAGCACACACACACCATCGAGCACTCACACACACCATCGAGCACTCACACACACCATCCAGCGCGCATACACGTCATCCAGCACACGCACACACTGCATTCATTATACACACTCTTCACTCACTACAAACACACTACATTCACTATACACTCACTACAAACACATTACATTCACTATACACCCTCTGCATTCATTATACACATTCTGCATTCACTACAAACACACTACATACACTGCATTCATTGTACACACTGCACTCACTACAAACACACTACATTCATTATACACAATTTGCACTTACTACAAACACACTACATTCATTATACACACTGCACTCACTACAAACACACTACATTCACTATACACACTCTGCATTCATTATGCACACTCTGCACTCACTACAAAAACACTGCATTCGCTATACACACTGCACTCACTACAAACACACTACATTTATTATACACACTGCACTCACTACAAATACACTACATTTATTATACACACTCTGCACTCACTAAAAACACACTGCATTCATTATCCACACTCTGCACTCACTACAAATACACTACAATTATTATTCACACTGCAGTCACTACAAACACACTACATTTATAATTCATACTCTGCATTCACTACAAACACACTACATTCATTATACACACCCTCCACTATAGGCATAGGAGTGTAATTTTTTTTTTTTTTTTAAGGGGGGAGGGGAGGCGGAAATCTTGGGTGAGTTCCCACACTTTTTTCCCCAGGACTTGACCCCCGATTGAAACCAATGTGGCTTAGTAGAGAAGTAAAACAAGCGATTAAACATAATAAAAGGGCATTTAAAGCATTTAAATTGGACAAATCAGAGGCATCCTATATAAGATATAAGTAAGCCAATAATGCTTGCAAAAAGACAATTAAAGTGGCTAAACTAGAACATGGGAAATTGATAGCCAATGAATGCAAAACCAACCCCAAAACATTTTTCAAGTACATCAATTCTAAAAAAAACCAAAAAATGAAAGTGTAGGTACACTGGAAACAGAGATGGGTCTGTTAGTTAATGAAGACTAGGAAAAGACAGAAATTTTAAATAACTATTTTTCTTCAGTATATATTAAAAAAGATCCTGTGGCAAGAGATATGCAAATGATTGCTGCAAAAAACTTGCAGATACCTTGTGATTGGATAACTCAAGACAATGTGCTACAGCTGTTAGAGAAAATTAATGTAAATAAAGCCCCGGGGCCTGACGGTATTCACCCACGAGTAAAGAGCTAAGTACTGAAATAATTGAACCTCTGTATTTAATTTTTCAATATTCTTTTGTTTCAGGTATTCCTATATTTAAAAAGGGTTCAAAATCCTTGCCTGGAAATTATAGACCTGTGAGCTTAACTTCTGTGACTGGGAAAATATTTGAAGGGCTATTAAGGGATAAGATAAGATTCAGGAATTCATTCATTGGGAAGAACTTTGTTATTAGCAATAGTCAGCATGGTTTCATGAAACATATGTCATGTCAAACTAACCTAATTGCATCCTACGAAGAAGTAGAAGTATAGATCAGGGTGTTGCAGTGGATGTGATCTACTTGGATTTTGCAAAGGCATTTGATACGGTTCCTCACAACAGGTTAGTCTTCAAACTAAAAGAAATTGGTATATGTGATTATTCTTGTTCTTGGGTAGAACATTGGCTTAAGGATAGAGTACAACGAGTTGTCATTAATGGTACATTTTCAGGCTGGACAAAAGTGGTAAGTGGTGTCCCTCAGGGTTCTGTTTTGGGACCGCTTCTTTTTAACATATTTATAAATGGACATTGAAAGCCATGTTTCGGTGTTTGCAGATGACACAAAACTTTGCAAAGTAATAAAATGTGAGCAGGATATTGCTTTGCTGCAGAGGGAAAAAAACACTGAGAATGAATGGAAACTATTCAAACAAAATGGCAGATGAAATTTAACGTAGAGAAATGCAAAGTTATGCACTTTGGGGTCAAGAATGCACAAGCAACTAACACCCTAAATGGTAGTGAAGTAGGGATAACCACACACGAAAAGGATTTGGGAATTGTTGTAGACCACAAATTAGGCAGCAATATGCAATGTCAATCTGCAGTTGCTAAGGCCAGTAAGGTTTTGTCATGTATAAATAGGGGCATCAATTCTTGGGATGAAAATATAATTTTGCCTCTTTATAAATCGCTGGTAAGACTGTGCAAATTTGGGCACCTGCTCTAAATAAGGATATCATGGCACTAGAAAAAATGCAGAGACGAGCTACAAAATTGATAAAAGGAATGGAGCATTTTAGTTACGAAGAAAGGTTAAAAAAATGAAATCTCTTTAGTTTGGAAAAACGGCGCCTCAGAGAGGATATGATAACATTATACAAATATATTCGGGGCCAGTACAAACCATTATCTGGAAATCTATTCATAAACCGGGCTATACATAGGACACACATTTAGGCTGGAAGAAAGGAGATTTCATCTAAGGCAAAGAAAACGTTTTTTTACAGAAAGAGTAATAAGGATATGGAATTCTCTGCCTGAAGAGGTGGTTTTATCATATCATACCAGATGTTTAAACGGCATACAGATGTTTAAACTGCAATTGGATAAATACTTGCAAAAACATAACATGCAGGGATATAATTTCTAATTGGTGGGATAATAGCTGCTTGATCCTAGCTGACTGCTATTTTGGGGTCAAGAAGGAATTTCTTCCTAGTTTGTTGCCTTCTTTTGGATCAACAAAAGTCTCTTTTCAGCTATGTAACTTAGCCACTGCCTTTCCCATTCAACAATATTGGAATCCAAACTTAAAGATTGCAGTTTATTGATACGCCTTCTATGTGAAACAGTGTCAAAAACCTTTGTAACAGATGCCCTATTCCTTTGGAGTTATGTGTTATTGCAATTCTGAACCTTGTTTGAATTTCCATTCGTCTAAATCGTATATGAACCAAAACGAACAGACTTTACCCTAGCTGGTTCGTATACTGAATGCTTTACCGTACCCTTGGACCACCCAAGGCAGTCAGTGCCGTCAATTAACTTTATTGACACTGTTCCAATCCACAACTCTGAACATTCTAAGTGGTTCACTAGGTGGCCATCGATTCGTATGCATGAACACGTGGCGGCGGCCATCTTGTTTTGTCAAAAGCATCCAGTGGGGTTTGGTCATCGAGTGTATGTAACTATTTTCGGATACTCGACGGCCCGAACACTGCCGAGACTTCCAGGATCACTTAGCTTCATCCTACTCCATCCGAAAGAGATGGCGTTCGGTGAATCGGTGAAAACCAACTCCCGAACAACGAGGCACACGACTAACTTCCACACGAACAGTTATTCAGGACTGTGACGAGAGCAATCTTGCCACATTGAATTGGAGAAGCCTGGTTGCTCGCCTGTTGCCTTTGGATTATGGCCATGTTAAAAGGCTTGATTTTCCCCTGCAAAGACAAGAAAGCCGGGTCATTTGGTGCTTGCCCTGTTTGAGCAGTGATACCCCAGATAGCTATGCCATGGAGCCCATTCGTATAATGAAAGACTATGGGAAAGAATTTGGCTCCATGGCAATTGAACTGTATGTGTGTGTTCTGAGCACCATTCAGTAATAATGTGCGCTCAGACCTAAGCTATCTGGGCATATGTTGCATGTCTGTATTTTATGTCATAAATGTAACCTTGTGTATTTTATTGTATTTTACTGTCTTTTTGCTGCCATGTGTTCAATGGAGTTTTGCCTCTGTCTTTGGAGATAATTGGATTACTTCTAATTATCTCCAGGATAGAAGACTCTGTGGAACTAGTTTTGGGCAGAAAAGCCATGCTTCCTGTGGTCACAAAGGACTAGGATCTATCTTTTGAACCACTGAGCCAATTTGTATGATTTTGACGTATGTTTGTATTTGGAGTATGCTGATTATGCTGATTCTGTGAATGTGATGCATACTTTTCAAGTTATGAATAATGTGAAAATTTTTTATTTCTCTGCTTGTGCTAAATTACATTACCCATTGTGTAAGGTAATTGAATCACATGTAGAGGGGAGGAATTTGTGTGGGAGTATCTGAGTGTATTGTATGTGTTTATTGGTTGTGTTCCAAAACCCTGTGGGTGGTACTAATGTGTAAGAATGTGTACATAAGCACAATAAACCCACAGCTCTGTCTGTTCACTGCTTGACCCTCAACACGGAGCTTCGTCTCGTTCTTGGGGGGATTTATTGTATGCTGTTCCAGTTCGACTGATAGGAGTGTAAACCTATTCGTATGGTTTTTCCTATTCGGCTGTTTACGGCATTCATATGGTTTCCTGTTCATCGGATTGGTGTTCTGCAGTAGCTGTGCCTGCATCTCTGGAAAGGGGGACGATCGCCTAAACGGTTTTTACCCCTTATGTGCAAAACGGTCCGTTACAAGGACACTGTTCGACATTTTGAAATACACGAAAGAACCGCACAAGCTGATTGTTTGGAACTATTCTGGGCAAGAGCCTCGTGTGCGGTCGGTCAGAAATGGGACTTCCATCCTATTCCCGAACCCCTAAACCGATCTGGGTGATTTTTGAATATGTTGCTCACTCAGATCGGGGCTATACTTTTTATGGGGTTCTTATGTAATTTTGGGTGATTCCAGAAAGAGAATAAATGTGTCTTTTTTCATTTTGAGTTAATTGAGTTGATCCAGTAATTAACTCAATTATCTCCCAAGCAGAGGTAAAGGATTGTATGCCATGTGTGGGAGTGCCTCAGATTGTAAGTCTATTGTGATTTGTGTATGCATTTGTGTCCCTGTCCCCAACAAGGTCCATGTGGGTGTCACCCTTGCTTGAGGACTTGCATAAAAGGCCAGTGTGGCCACCATTAAACCAGTCCTGCTTAACCCTCAACACATAGCCTGGTCTCGTGATTGTAGGGAACCTGCTTCACAGCTTTATCACTAGCTCTTGTAAGAGCTTCACAACGTTATTGGATCCTTGGTCTGCTGGAAGATCTACTGAAGAATCCTGCAGCCCTGCTCCTACTAAGGGAAAAGGACGTCTCTGGCTAGACCCCTTTATACTCTGGGTGTCCGTCACAACCTTACTGAAATCTAAGTAAACAGTGTCTACTGCACCACTGTGATGGATAGCCTGGCACCCTGACCGGGTGCCTCCGCCAATCGATGCTCTTAGTGCTCACCGAGGACTCCAAGCACTCGAACAGACACCATCAGGACCGTAGACCCCACAAACCACCACAGCTTGGTTGGGGTCTCGCTGTCCTCCACCCACTCTGGACCCAAGACCAGTATCCAGCTTCCTGTGGGTGAACCTCTCCTACTCCGAGAGTATAGCAGGAACAGCTCTTATAAGAGCTAGTAATTATAATCCAAGCAGTGCCGTATTTAGCCCAAGGCAAACTAGGCATTTGCCTTGGGCAGACATCCCTCCTGTCATGGACCCCACTCGGCAGGCGGCTGTTCTAATCAGAGGTGGCGAGGGAGCTTTGATCTCTATGCTCCCGCGTGCGCTGTTTGCTGATGCCGGGATCGGGAATATGACATCATAGCTCCCTCACCGCCTCTGATTAGAACAGCCCGACTCACTGCAGCCCCACTGGAGCCCAGGAACCCATCCATGCCAGCTTTCCCAAAAGGTATGGAGGCTGGGTGGGTGGAAAAATGTTAATTACAATAATATTAATAATTTGTATGTATGTCTGTTAGTGTATGTGTGTGTAACAAATGGAGGAGCTTAACCTGCTTTACAGGGACTTTTAAAGGCATCAATTTGGGACTTTTAAAGCATTCCCCATACGAATGCTAACTACCGAACACCGGGCCACCCTGCTTCCTAATTATAGATCATTTACCTCCCTGTTCGGCACATTCAGCTCTTATGGGAAAAGCACGAACGCTTTGCTTCAATTCCTGGGTGGCCACAATTTCGGGACTTTTACACGTGTTCGCGGCCATCTTAAACTCCCGAACAGCGGTGTTTTGCCGTTGAGTGTCTGGAACTAAAATCGGACACTCAAGTAGGCGAACACCGCTGAGACCTCCATAGCACCGGGAATTCGTGCCAAAACTACCGAACACCCGGCCATTCGGTAGAAAGACAATATGAGGATTCTAGCAAACGTCGAGTTACGCACGGATAGCAAGCCTTTTGTGACTTTTAATGAATAAAGACCGAATAAAGACCGACCACAAGGCCAAAATTCATGGAACTGTTTTCGGCTACTTTGCCTGTGTGGTCGGTTAAAACTTTAAAGTCCGATATCTCCCAAACGGCTGAACCGAATGGGCTGAATTTTGACTATGTTGGTCCCCCAGAATATTTGGGGTACATCCGAACTTTGGGGGAAAATGTGTTCTTTTTAATTATGTTAGTAGCTTATCTGAGGGGAGGAGATGTGTGGGATGTACCTTATGTTTATTGGTTGTTCTGTTAATTATGTGGGTGTCTCCCTTGCATGGACAGAATCACATAAAAAGAGAGTGCCTGTCATTAAAAGCCAGTTCTTCTTGACCCTTCAAAACGTAGCCTTGTCTCGTTCTTGAAAGGGGATTCTGCAGCATAATCAGTTAGTTCTTTTCAGAGCTCTACCTGACTCCTGCCTTAGATCCAGTGGATGGGAATAAGCGACTCCATCACTTTACAGCGACTTGCCGGGAGGAAAAGGACGTCTCCAGCGGCTGATACCCTCTCTCAACCTGGGTAGCCTTTACATTGGTGGCAGCGGTGGGATGGTCCTTTCATCCACAGCGCAAGTGCTGGATGGAGTCTCAGTACGCCAAACTGAAGAGACCTACCCTAAAGGATTTACTGGAGAGTCGGGGAAGGAATGCCAGTAACAGACCACGGAGAGAGCTGATAGCAGACCTGCTGGAGTTGGACGAAATGGATTGGTCCATGGAAGTGACCAAATTACTTGCGTCAAGCTGCGAGGAGGACGAGGTCACCCGCATTGTGCAGAGGAGACTAGCCTTCTACCCAACGACATCAGTGGAGCTGATTGAGCGGCTGTTCCTCGACGCAAAAGCAGATATTCGGGAAAGGAGGGGGCACGAAATCGAACTGGTAAGAGCACAACAGCCCATTACACAGAAAGTTCCTACTCCCCCTCCAACTACCACCGCAAAGAAAGTACCCTTCACTGCATTTAAAGCGTTTGTGGAGAACGAAGAGGAGATCGATGGATATTTGGCAGATTTTGAGAGAAAGTGCTCGCTACATCAAGTGCCTCCAGAGAAATGGGTCACTATTTTATCAGGAAAACTGTCAGGCAAAGCGAACGAGGCTTTTCGGGCTCTCACCTCAGAGGATATATTACAATATCAGCGGGTCAAAAAGGCGCTACTAACCAGACATGCCGTGACTCTGGAGGCCTACCGGCGCCGCTTCAGGGAGTCCAAGAAAAAGGCTGTGGACATTCCTAATGAGTGGCATCACACTGGGTTCGAGAATGTAACCCCAATACCAGAGAAGAAGTCCTACAGTTATTTTTAATGGAGCATTTTTTTCCGGATTTGTCGGCCGATTTACAAGACTGGGTACGAGACCGTCGCCCCAGCACCTTGAACGAGGCGGCTCGGCTAGCAGATGAGTACGCCGAAACAAGGAAGGTTAGCCAGAGTACTCACAGACCAGCTAGCAGGACGGAACACCGGATAACGACAGGCTGTACAGATTAACCGAAGGTAGGAAGAGAGGTTGTATTCCTTCGCAGAAGTGCCAACTAGTGGTAACCAGAAAGTACCAGTTGGAACTTCTCCGAATTGGCCATGATATCCCCTTAGCAGGACATTTGGGTGGTAACCGCACTACTTACAGGATCACCCAGACCTTCTTTTGGCCGGGGATCTCAAAGGATGTGCGGCGCTACTGCAGCACGTGTGACGTCTGCCAACGAGTAGGGAAGCGAGGGGACCACCCGAAAGCACGATTGTCGCCCATGCCTGTGATAGAAGAGCCATTTAGTAGGGTGGGAGTCAATCTGGTGGGCCCCCTACCTAACCCCAGTCCTCCGGTAAGAAATACATTCTTACCGTGGTGGACTATGCCACCCGCTACCCGGAAGCCGTCGCTCTGACGAATATCCAGGCTGACACTGTCGCCAGTGCTTTGGTTGGGGTATTCACCAGAGTAGGGTTTCCACAAGAGATATTGTCTGACCGAGGGACACAGTTTACCGCAGACTTGACCCAACAATTATGGAAGGTTTGTGGTATTAAGACCCTCTTCAGCTCACCCTACCACCCCTACACTAACGGTCTCTGTGAGCACTTTGATGGTACCCTGAAACAGTTACTGCGGACCTTAACAGCGTAATACAGGGACTGGGAGCGATTCTTGCCGCACCTCTTGTTTGCGTATCGAGAGGTGCCACAGGAATCCACTGGGTTCTCTCCGTTCGAGCTGCTCTATGGAAGGAGAGTTCGGGGCCCCCTCGATCTCATCCGAGAGCACTGGGAAGGAGAGATGGAACATGAGGGTGTCCCCATTGTACCATATGTTCTGGAGATGCGGGACCACAAAGAGCAGTTAGCTCGGATGGCACAAGACCACCTCCATGCGGCCCAGGGTCGACAGAAGAGGTGGTATGATCGGGGCACCCGACAGAGAACGTTCCAGGTAGGACAGAAGGTTCTGGTGCTTAGAGCAGTGAAAGGGAATAAGCTCCAGACATCTTGGCAGGGCCCTTACAAGGTAGTGGCACAAATCTGTGACACTACCTACATAATTGCCGGAGACACCGGGACAAAACCCTCTTAAACAGACCCGCTACAGAATCCCTGAGGCAGTTAAGGAAGAAATGAGAAAAGAAATACAGGAAATGCTTAGGTTGGGAGTCATAGAACCCTCAGACAGCCCCTGGGCCTCACCAGTAGTGCTAGTGCCCAAAAAGGACGGGACTATGCGGTTCTGCGTCTCCAACATGTAGGGGCCGTACTGGACCAGATTCAGGCCGCAGGCCTCACTCTGAAACCAGAAAAATGCCACTTTGGCATGGCCAAAGTCCAGTACCTGGGACACCGGGTAGGGTGTAGGAAATTTGTCCCCGACTATAGTAGCATCGCCAAGCCATTGACAGACCTAACCAAAAAGAATCTACCTAGAATAGTCCTGTGGTCTCCTTCCTGTGAAACAGCCTTCCAGAGCTTAAAGAAAGCGCTAATCAACGCTCCTGTACTATCTGCCCCAGTCCCTAACAAAATATTTTTCGTCCATACAGATGCATTCATGTACGGACTGGGGGCAGTTCTGAGCCAGATCGGGGAAGATGGAGGAGAACACCCTGTCGCGTACTTAAGTAGAAAATTGTTACCCAGAGAAGTGATTTACGCGGCAGTGGAAAAGGAGTGTTTAGCCCTGGTCTGGGCATTAAAGAAACTTACCCCGTATTTGTATGGTCAGGAGTTTACACTCATCACTGACCATAACCCTCTCGTATGGTTGAATCAAGTGGCCGGAGATAATGGCCGTTTATTGCGATGGAGCTTGGCGCTACAACCCTATAACTTTTCCATTCAATATCGTCCTGGCAAATTCAACGGGAACGCAGATGGACGCAAACCGAACTTCTACCTTAACCAATAGCCGGACAGCCCCAAGTTGACCCGAAAAGGATCAATCCGCGTCTGTCGGGGTGTTCCACAAAAGGGGAGCCATGTAACAAATGGAGTAGCTTAACCTGCTTTACTGGGACTTTTGCAGGCATCAGTTCGGGACTTTTAAAGCATTCCCCATACGAATGCTAACTACCGAACACCGGGCCACCCTGCTTCCTAATTATAGATCATTTACCTCCCTGTTCGGAACATTCAGCTCTTATGGGAAACGCACAAACGCTTTGTTTCAATTCCTGGGTGGCCGCCATTTCGGGACTTTTACACATGTTCGCGGCCATCTTAAACTCCCGAACAGCAGTGTTTTGCCGTCGAGTGTCTGGAACTAAAATCGGACACTCAAGTAGGCGAACACCACTGAGACCTCCATAGCACCGGGAATTCGTGCCAAAACTACCAAACACCCGGCCATTCGGTAGAAAGACTTAATAACATATGGGAATTCTAGCGAACGTCGAGTTACGCACGGATGGCATGCCTTTTGTGACTTTTAATGCACGAGCAAAGACCGACCGCAAGGCCAAAATTCATGGAACTATTTTCGGCTACTTTGGCTGTGCGGTCGGTCAAAACTTTAAAGTCCCATATCTCCCGAACGGGCTGAATTTTGACTATGTTGGTCCCCAGAATAGGGCTATCTGGTGACACTGGATTTATGCCTGTACCCCAAATATTTGGGGTACATCCGAACTTTGGGGAAAAATGTGTTCTTTTTAATTATGTTAGTAGCTTATCTGAGGCGAGGAGATATGTGGGATGTACCTTATGTTTATTGGTTGTTCTGTTAATTATGTGGGTGTCTCCCTTGCATGGGCAGAATCATGACTCCTTATAGCATAACCACAATGAGATCAAGCAGTTATAGTATCCCTTTACGGAAGCCATTAGGAAGCTTTCAGGGGCTTTACATTTACAACAACTGTGTAAATTGCAGGTTAGGAGGGAGGGATAAAAATGGAATAGTATGCCCAGTAACCAGAAAAAAAGTGTAACGGCACCCCCAGGCATAAAAGGGTTAAACCGCCTTTTAGAAGATCTTCCCCTTCCAGATATACAGGCACAGCATGTAAAGGAATGTTCTAAACTCCCGAACGGGATACAAAATAGCACTCCAAACTCCCGAACTGGAACCATACGAATAGCTGCTAGCAGACGAATAGGAAAAGCACCCAAGCGGCTTACACTCCTAGCAATCAGTCTCTATCAGCATACAGTAAATCCCCCCAAAGACGAGACAAGGCTCCATGTTGAGGGTCAAGCAGTGGTCTGTTTAATGAGGGCTACCTGCCCAGTATTTGTGCAGGTCTCCCACCTGGTGGACACTCCCCTCAGACAATCAGCAATCTAGGACACACAGTCACATTATATTCCCACAATGCATCCTGGCTTCCTCCCCTCTGCACTGGAGATAATTGAGAAGTTTTTCAATTATCTCCAGGACAAAGGCAAATCGCCATTATGCACGTGGGGATACTAATATAGAAATTACTGTTAAAATCCCCCATGTTGGAACGGTTACAGTAAAGATATACATTTAACATATCCCCAGATAGCTCAGGTCTGAGCGCACGTTATTAAGCGAATGGCGCTCAGAATACACGAATACAGTTCAATCGCCATGGAGCCAAAGTGTTCACAAAGTCAGTTCTCATACGAATGAGCTCCATGGGATTCCTATCTGGGGTATGGTGTAGTCAGGTACAACTACCGAATATAGGGCCGTTCGTGTACTTCTACCGAACAAGAAGGGAGGTCGGTGGCTTCAGCGGTGTTCGCGCCAAACTGTCTCCGTTTTCAGTTCCATGGATTAGGCGTCGAACACCGCTGTGCCTTCGAGTGGTTTAAAATGGCCGCGACCTCGTGTTCGGCATACGAATGGCGGCCACCCAACTACTGTATCAATCAAGAGGTGTCTGCGGTTAACCTCAAAGTTCGAATGGGGCCAAGAGGTTAATCAGCAGCACACTTCTCTACTGGGTGGCCGGCCGTTCGGTCCTAAAAAGGCAACGCCATAGAGTCCACAGGAACGAGGAAAACGAATTAAACAAACGAACGAGCCATACGAAAACTGGGCAGAAAAGGCACGAATAAGCCTTTTCTGCGGGGAAAAAGATGTCTTTTAACATGGGGCCATAATTCAAAGGCAACAGGCGAGCAACCAGGCTTCTCCAATGCAATATGGCGAGATTGCTCTCGTCACAAAAAGTTGTAAATTAAAAAAAAAAAAAAAATTCAAGTGGAGAATGTTGGACAGAGGAAGGATCGTTAGTTATTTTTAGCATGCTCCACAAAAATGTTTCGCATCATTTTGCACATTATGCAGGTCAAAACTATAATATTAATAAAGTTGGCGTTGACACCTGCAGTGTCCGTTTAGGAGGCTTTGTTTTACTTGTGTCAATTCGCTCCAGAGAACCCAGAAACCATTAACATTTGGCTCACATTTTTGCAAAGGGTGTTGAAACAACTTCTTTCAATGGATGTCCACTGATGGACATCCAGCCTCTGTGGCATTAATATCTGTGGCACCACGCCAGCCACTATTTACAATTGGTGGTTAGTGGAAGCTATGTGCGTGCTGCTAGAGCAGCATGTACCAGCTATTGCTAAGTGGATCAAGTTTCTTCTTCTATGGGTGTCTGAGTGTCTCTGCGATCCAATACAAGTTAGTCCTTGCTATAGGCAAAATCAATACCCAGTACACTAAACAGTGCAGTGTTAAAGTTAGTGTTAGGCCTATTGCTAATGTGGGGTAAACAGAGAAAGCTACAGAAGGTTAGAAATAGCATGAAAGTTTAATTCTAATCAGTAAAGTGTCACATATAGTCACTTCAACAAATATCTCTAACTAGGATATCTGAATGTGGGAGCAAAGCTGAATATATATCTGGTAAGTAGCAAAATACACAGTCACATAGTCCTGTGAAATTCAACATTAACCCCTTCAGGAGGTGTGTTTTTGCGATGTTGTACGTTAAGGACCAGGGCTCTTTTAACACTTTTGTGGTGTTTGTGTTTAGCTGTAATTTTCCTCTCTCTCATTTACTGTTTCCATACAAGTTAATTTTTTTTTTTTAAGGACAAAATGTTTTTACATACCATTATTTGTTTCATGTCATATAATTTACTTTTAAAAAAAATAAATAATAAAATATGAAAAATTGAAAAAGAAAAAACAAAAACGTTTTTGAGTTTTGCTTGAAAAATCTTTTACTTACCTACAAAAGCTAATGAAACAAACTGCTAAATAGATTCAAAATTTTATCCTGAGTGTAAAAACACCCAGTGTTTACGTGCTTTTTTTTTTGCAAGTTATAAGGCTATAAGTACAAATAGGAAATTGCTGTTTCAAAATATATATTTTTAAAATGTATCAATAGTGACATTGTAACACTATTATCCATTATAAATCTTCAAATCACACCTCACATGTACATATTTTTTTTAAAGTAGACAACCCAGGGTATTCAATATGGGGTATGTCCAGTCTTTTTTAGTAGCCACAGTCACAAACACTGGCCAAATTTAGCGTTCATATTTGTTTGTGTGTGAAAAAAGTAAAAAACTAAATTGAAAAGTGGCTACTAAAAAATATAATACTGGATATACCCCATTTGCAATACCTTGAGTTGTCTTCTTTTGAAAATGGTATGCCATCATGGGGGTAATTCTCATTCCCGGGCTACCATATGCTCTCAAAGGCAACATAACCAACCTGGCAATTTTCAATGTAAAAATATTTGACCCTTTAAAAAACGCTATAAACTTGTACATGAGGGGTACTGTTTTACTCGGGAGACTTTGCTGAACACAAATATTAGTGTTTCAAAACAGTACACTGTATCACAACAATTATATCAACAGTAAAAGTGCTGTGTGTGAAAAATGTAAATAAAGTCACTTTCACTGACAATATCATCGCTGTGATATGTTTTACTGTTTTAAATCACTAATATTGCTGGTCAGTGAAGTCTCCCGAGTTAAAACAGTACCTCCCATGTACAGGTTTTAGGGTGTCATAGAAAGTTACAGGGTAAAATACAGTGCTAGCAAATTCAATTCTCTGGACTTTCTTCCTGGGTTGTCAGGCAGGTCCCTCAAATTGCAATCAATAAAATTACTTAATTATGTAAAAATATTACATAAATATGCACGTAGAATTAAAATATATATGCATATTTATATATTTGAAGTCTACGTGTATATTTATATAAATTATTTATGTAATTTTGTATATGGACATATGTATATTTTGTATTATTTTTATATATATGGCTACATTTAGCTAGCACCCGGGATACAAGGAGTATTGGAGCGTGAGTGCAGGGGCTTTTGGTATTTATATATATATATATATATATATATATATATATATATATATATATATATATATATATATATATATATATATATATATATATATATATATATACACATACATACATACACACAATTTTATTCTAAGTGTATTTTGATATAAATATATATTATCAAAATACAGTTAGAATAAAATTTCATGTAGATATATAATTTTTTTGGAATATTTTTACATTTTTAAATTTAAATGTACTTATTTGTATTTTATAATATATTAAAAGGCTTGGCCTGTAGTTGTGGGAGGGGCTTGGTTTCCCTATAAAAGGGCTGCCAATCCACTCCCACATTACCGTTAATGGTCTGGCGAGTCTGAAACGTTACTTCCGGTTCAGACCGCCATCTTGGATTCCTCTTACCCGTTTCCTCGTGGTCTCCTGGTCCGGTGCCCTCCTGAGTTGTCCGGGCTCTCCAGGGCTCTT